ACCCAAGTGTGTTTTGCCCCATTTTATGACATTTTTTTTGCCACCGTTGTTAAGTGAATCACTGCAGTTTTAAATTTAGTAACACTTTTGTTAAGGGAATCTGGCTTCCCCATTCACTTTGCTTGTCAGAAGGTCGTGAAAAGGTGATCACATGACCCCGGGACACTGCAGCCGTCATAAACGCTTCACCTGCCCCCAGGTGCTTTGAACTATAAGTCAACCCCCTTTTCTCCCTGGAAGATGGTCGTCACTCTCCCCGAATCCTCCTCCATAGGCTGATCATACAAGTAGTGGTTTGTTTAGTGTCTCCCCACAATCCTCCTCCTTCTCCTCCCTGAAAACTCCCCTCCTAGCACTGATGATGTTCCCTAGTTGGGTCATGAAAGGTCTTCAAGGAAACTATCAAGCTCAGAGGGTCGAAAGGACCCCCACAGTTTTCCTCCTCCTCCTCCTCCTCCTCCCAAACCCCAATCCCTCCTAGCACTGATGATGTTCCCTAGTTGGGTCATGAAAGGTCTTCAAGGAAACTATCAAGCTCAGAGGGTCGAAAGGACCCCCACAGTTCTCCTCCTCCTCCTCCTCCTCCTCCCAAACCCCAATCCCTCCTAGCACTGATGATGTTCCCTAACTGGGCCATGAAAGGTCTTCAAGGAAACTACCAAGCTAAGAGAGCAACAAGGACCCCACAATCCCCCTCCTCCTCTTCCTCCCCCCCGTCTCACCCTTCTCCTCCCGAACTCCTATTCCCTAGCTGGGCCATGAAAGGTTTGCAAGGAAACCTCAGGGAGCCCCCAGGACCCCACAGTTCATCTCCGAGCTACAGACATCCTTCTTTTGGGGTAAATTGCATGGTTGACGAATGGCCCTTTGCTTTTATTTCAGAAGAGGGAGGGTCCTGGCAAACCGCCTGCCAACACCCCTGCCAAGAAGCTGATTCTCGAGTGTGGTGGAGAGTGGGCCGCCCCCGCTGCAGAAACCCCAGCCTGCCAGGAGCCCGACGCCATGGAGACCCTCACCATAGCCATAGACCCCAGCGTGGGCGCCACCCCGGTGTACGTGGAGACTCAGTCTTCGGCCCCCAACTTGGACTTCCAGGCCCTCTCGGGACCCCTGGTTGGGACGGTGAACCTGCTTCCTCTGGTCCAAATCGTGGAGCCCCTCAAAGCGGTGACCCTGGCGGTGGCTTCCCCGGCCGTGCCGGGCCAAGCTCCGCAGGAGCCCCCGGAGCAGCAGGTGGTGGATTTTGTGGCCTCGCTGCCCCCGGCTACCCTGGGAGCCTTGCCCAGCTCTTCCGTCGGGCTGGCCGGGCAGCTGTGCACCGAAGTGGCCTTGCCTTGCGAAGTTTTGGCCGCCGGCGACCAGAGTTCCCTACGGGCCGTGATGGCCGAGCCGGCCGTGATGGCTGAACAGGGGGCCCTGGTGATCGAGAACGTCTCCATCGAGCCTTTCCTGGCGGGCGGCCCTTCCGTGGCCCTCCCCGTCCTGCAAGAGCCCACCGCCACCACCCAGATGGTGGCCTACTTTGAGACCATCCCCACCGCTCCCGCCGCCACCGCCTCTTCCGGGCTGTCTCCTCCCGAGACAGTGTTGTCCTCGGCCCTCAGCCTGCCCATCGTCTCCACCCTGCCCATCGTCTCCAACCAGGCGGCCCCGGAGGCCTCCCTCTCGGCCGAGGAGGCGAAGCTGGAGGAGGGCAGCTCTTCCGGCGACTCTTCGGAGGAGCCCCTGGGGGAGCACCGCTACCACCGGCACGAGGGGACGACGGCCGAGCTGGTGGAGGTGGTGTCGGGGCTGCAGAAGAAGGTGATGGTGCTCCAGCAGAGGCACCGGAGACACTGCGCCAAGCTGGAGGCCATGGAGGGCGTGGTGGAGCAGCTGTGGAAGGAGAACCTGGTCTCGGAGGAGAAGCTGAAGGTCCTGGAGATGGTGAGTGGACGGGGCGCCTCCTTCCGCCGGGCAGGGAATGCAGGGCGCGAGGAAGAACAGGGAGGCCGCGCCCTACACCCTCAAAGGAGCCCCAACATTTCGGTTGCTAAGCGAGGTGTTTGTTGAGCTTCGTCCGTTCTGCGGCCTTTCTTGCCACAGCCGTTAAGTGAATTGGCGCCGTTGTTGACACGACGGTTAGCGAATCTGGGGGTTCCCCCACCCCCCCATTGGCTGCGCTTGCCAGAAGGTCGCGAAAGGGGATCATGTGATCCCTCCGGGCACCGTCGTAAATAGGAGACTATTATTGGCTCTTCTGCTCTCCATACACCATATTGATACCCTCTCCATCACTTCCTTTCCTCTTCTCCCTCTCTCCTCCCTCCCTCCCTCCTTCCTTCCCTCTGTCGTCCTTCTCTACCTCCCTCTCCTCCTCTCTCCTCTTTCCACT